CATGAGCTTTCTTGTGTCCAAGGGACTTCTGGCCACAGGGAGTGGGTGACACAAAGAAATATCTTGGTAAGATGAAAACATCTCAAAGAGTCAAATGGAGACAGAGTTCAGAAGACAAATAATCATGGAATCATCTAGGTTGGAAAATACCTTTAATATCATTAAGCCAACCATTACCTGAAGCAACCAATCCCACAACTAAACCATGTCCCTAAGTGTCACAGTCTTCAGATTTTAAATACCTCCAGGGATGGTGACTCAGCCACTTCCCCAGGAAGCCTTTTTCCAATGCTTGATAAACCTTCCAATGAACAAATTTTTCCTAATATTCATTTCAAACCTCCACTGGCACAACTTGAGTTTTCTTGAGAACATGAAGAGGCAAAGGTTGGATAAGGACCACAGATTCAGCAGTCCTCAGGTTTAAGACTGGGCAAAATAATCAGGTAACACAGAAAAGCATTCAAGATGTGAAATACTTATTTCTGGTCTTGGGTTTGACTCTTTTATGAGGGGTGGGCCCAATGCCTTGCACGTAGCAGCAAGGAGAGAATACACTGTGGAAAAGGTGCCAATTCACTGAGCAGGACTGAGGTATTGTCCCTGAAAAGCCATCCACAACGGGAGCATGATTTTAAAGATTTATTCCATGAATACTGATGCTTGAATTATTGTATTTCTAAATACAAGTCTGCCTGAACAAGAGAACAGGAGGTGGGCTGCAACACCCTTTGGAGTGGCTGACTCCCCCACTGCTTAAGTTAATTTCAGCAAGTTATGCTGCTGACTGATGAAGAACTTGATTGATCTCAACTGCTTTAAGGTGTAAAAGAAGCCATTTACAAACAAATAAAACAGGAAACATCACAGTACACCTGGCAACTGCTGACAGGGAAGTTTCCACAGTGTCTGAGGGGGGACTCTGAAAATAAAACCTGTCCCCAAAAGAAATGACACTGGACGCAAAAACAGCCATCAGAGAGATTCTTACCTTCCAAGGACTACATCTGGGCTTCATTTTAAGCAAGATGAGATCTGCTCTGATTCTACGGTTAGCTGGGCACAGGCAAAAAGTGAATAGGTGATTGTCTTTTTTCATTCCTCTTGCTGTTTCACACGGGAAAAAAAAAAAAAAGTTGTTATAGAAGCCCATAAACAGCCACTCAAAGCACCTTGCCAATACTCTGTAGGTGGTTTTAGTAATAAGCCCACACATATGCATACCAAATTAAGCTTTACCAGGCAACTCTAACTGTGCTGACTTTTACTGTTCAAGTATTCAACTCTAGGGACATCCTCTGGAAGGAGCCTTAATGGTGTAAAGTTTTCATTGTTGTTTTTATGGCATTATGTAGAGACTTAAAAAAAAATTGCCTGTGTTAATGTCAAGTGCATTCTTAGCCTCAAGCTAAGTGGATAATGGAAATATTGTTCTCCATACAGGTGGGAAGTGGAGGGACAGCAAAATGAAACAGCTACACAGAGACACATAGAAGAGAGACATCTTTGAAATGACACATTTCCAAATACTGTGCTATCGACCTTAAATGCATAACTATCCTTCATCTCAGGCCCTTGCTCACTTCTATGGATAAGCAAATTCCTACCAGGAATTATTCTCTACTTTAAACCTCATGCTGACCACAGAGAAGTTCTAGCATGAGTAAGACAGTTGCCATTGCTATGTGCATCAGTGGAGATCCACACCAGTGGAGATTCTTTCCCCTCCTGAAAACAAAGACAAAGTCTTCTAGTGTGATCTGTGTAATGGAACGGGAAATTTTGTATTGCCTGCTGCACAATCAGCTGTCATTTCTGTGGCAATAATAACTATTCCAACCAAACAGAAAAGGCCCCTTTTTAATGCAGTTTAACCCAAAGAAGAAAATCAATACAGAGAGGAGACAAATAATTATAATGATATTATATTCATAATTATATTTACAATGCTCAATAAATATTCATACAGCAGAAGAATTTCATAATGGACAACACTGTTCCAAGTTTGCCATGGAGCAACCATAAATCTATCCCATAGGGCAGATAACTACAGAGACTTGACCCTAAATTACCTCACTAAGCAAACTATTCTACTTTCTGATCGACCTTGCTGGCAGGACACACTTTGCTGTCCAGCAGCCGAGCTAAACATTATGTACATCTGAGATGACATTTATCTCAAGGAAACTTGCCAGACATACTCACAGATATAAATACTGCAACCTTTTACTTATTATTTCAAGAATACAAAGGTATTTTATTATACAAATAGACCAACTGGAGGGAATTCAAAGCAGAGGAGCCTTTTCTTTTTCAAAGAATCTTTTTCAGAGATGGAAGGGAGAGAGAAGCATGCATGGTTTGCCTGAGTAAGGTTTGTCCTCTCATTCCTCCTCTGCACCATCTGTGCATCCACAGACTGCACAGGCTGTGAGAATGCAGGAGAATGAGCAGAAAGTTGCCTCATTGTTACCCTGCAGTATCCACCACAAGGAATCTCCTGGCTTTGACATAGTTGCTACACTCAGGGTCACTTTTACACCCACTTGAAGCTTACACTACTACTGAGATGGTGCATTGGAAACTGGTGTACTGTAGAAACAACCTCTGTGCTGGTTACATTATGTGGGGGCTATTGCTGAGCTCTGTAAGCACCCAGCTTGTCACAACAGAAATATAAAGCTCTCCATCTACAATCCACCCTCCCACCTGCACTGTGTCAAATCTCAGGGGGACAAAATAATAGTTTCCAAACTGTTAAAAATTCAAAGCTGAAAAGAAATCTCTAAAGAAGAGAAGCAAGTGTTAGAAGTTGCAAAAGCAGCAGGAGAATATTTTAAAGAAAAATTATTAGTCTTGGTAAAGCTTCCCAGAAGTGAGATACAGGGAAAATCTCTGGCAGAAGGACCTCAGTCCATGAAATTTAAAGCCAAACCAGCGAAAGCCCTCAACAGAGCAGCTTCTCAAACAGCTGGGATACTCTCTAATGCTCCTGGCAGAAGGAAGTAAAACCTTTGTCTCACGTTCTTTAATCTGCCAGTTGCTTCCTTCGACTCCCCTTTACTACTCCAGGTACTATTAATGAATGTCTTCCAACAGAGGAGTAGCTGAGTGGAATATATTGATCCTCTCTTGCTTCTTGGCTGGGCAAACTGGCTACTGGGAAACGCTGCTCTTCGGTGCCTTTCCTTAGAAGTATGGGCACTACTTCTGATTTCTTCAGGATTTCTCAGGCATGGAGGGGATCAGGTCCAGGGACCAACACCCACAAACGCAGCTAAAGTGCTTAGGACCTGGAAGCTTTTGCTCCAGAGCTCCCACTGACCTGTAACTGCTTGAGCTGGAGGCCAAGCTGGTAGCTGGGTCAGAGAGAAGGGCTTCTATATTCTGTGGAGGCAGAGTGTTTCTTCTATTGTCTAAATAGCACTGTTACACACCCTGTAAGATTTCTGTATGAAGGGTGCAGAATATCGAGGTATAACGGTTTATGCTTATTTGATGTGATGGCATCAGAATATAGTTTATTGGTGTGTATGGGATTGTGTATGAATATTTCCATCAAAATCAGTTTTATTTTTCTGATACAGGCTACTGGTGAGTCATACATATATTTTCAGGGTCTACAAAAGATGACTGGGAAAGGTATAACTGCTACAAAATTCCCTTAAATTTACTGCACTGTAAATTTCACTGTGATTTCTCATTAAAAAACCTATAGAAGTGTCCATTCTGGGGAAAAAAAAAAAAAAAAAAAAAAAAGCAAAACCAGAAATCACCTAACCTACTTAGTAATAGGGCTCTGTTTAAGAGGAACAGGGTGGGAAAAGTAATAGCTGAATAGAAAAAAACAGTGACCTAGAATCTAGCATGCCTCTGATGGGAGAAGATAGCACCTTAGCTGACCACCCCCATAAAAATGCTGGGGATTTTTGCCAGATCTAGGAACCAACACATGACAGCATATAAAGTGTTAAGTGACCTACATGTAGAAGCAGAAGTGATGAAGGAGGAGAGAAAGCTTTAAACAAGGCTTGATGATTCCTCCCCTTTGAGGCACAAAGAGAGAAATACTTGATGAATTAGGGACCAGGACTAACTGGTGAGACCCAAAAGCAGAACTGCTCAAGCAATGGCTCCAGCCCAGCTGCAAGGCAAACCAATTTTGATCAGGCTTTGCCAAAATGCTGTTCAAAATAAACTAATAAAGGGTGGCTAGCTGCAATGAGGTGCTGGGAGTGGGAACTAGGAGAGCTCCCTCCTCTTCATTCCTACATACACATCCAGGGTGGGAGGTGATCTCATCAGAAATTATGTAACTCTGCCCATAGACTTCAAGGCAGGGACTGTAGGTGATCCGGTCCTAAGATGTTCTGTAACACTTTACAATCTCAGGGTCCATTCTGAGGCCTTAAGAAAATTGGCAGCGCCCTTGCTACTATCACTGCCTTTTTGTGGCTGGCCTGCTGAGGTGGTCACAGTCAGCAGGAGAGGAAGCACCTCTTAGCCCTGTGTGAGAGCAGAGGTGCATGATTCAGTACTTTCTTTACATGGATGGTTAAAGGGCCTGATGGCAAGACTCAGAGGATACTGAGGGGCCACAGAAGGTCAAAAGTGTGTTCAAATCAGGACTCACAGCAACCCACAGGAAGAAAACAACACTGTAGGAACACCGGTTCCCTAGAAATAGCCATTACTTAAATTCTCTTCTTAATTTAACTCACAGATAGATAAGGACAGCTCAAAACACCTCTGAGCTGTTGTTGGGACTCTGCCTGCATTATGGTATTGAAGTTTGCCCCTAGAGTATAAAGTAGTCAGAATGTATTTCCACTCCCACTCCTGAAAAATCTAGTGCTGTGATTTGGTGGAAACCATAATGCCTTGTATTGGATTTGCTTCTTAATATTTAATACTCACTTTTTTATACACAGAAATAATTGGTATCAGTAATCCTGGAATGTTACATACTACTAAGATAGAAAACAAACAAAAGAAGCAACAGAAAGTGTCCTTTTGCTGTAACTTTTGTAGTCAGTTGCTGTTACTCATTCTGTGATGCACATGAAAGCTGTTTCAGCCCTTGCTGGCTTTCCTGGAAATGTAATGCTGTCCTTAGCTTCACAGCTGAATAAAGTTTTGGTTCCTCCCCTGTACCTGATATCAGACCTGGTGTTTAGTGGGGCAGTGCATTAACCAGAGAAAAGGGATCAAAATGAGACAGGGTCAGTTCAAGTTAAAATTCATAGTTTCAAGCAGGACAATATAGAGACAGAAAGTTGAAAAAGGGAGCTCTACCATGTCCTGTCTCCCCTGAGAGAAGGGATGTCTGCTCTGGTCCAGACATCCCACACTGCAGCAGTGTCAGCACTCTTTTGGTATAAACAGGGAGCCAAGTCTGCTGGTATCAACAAGCCAGTGGTTTTAGGCTCCTGCAACATCAGAGGGGATTGCCTTTGATAGAGTGGGGTGAAAATGAGGGCAGAGTCGGGCACATTTGCCTTGGCTGGAAGCAGAAACCAGACCTTCAGCATTTCATTCAAGCTACACAGAAAAATCCTTCAGCGCAGCCTATTGCAAAGGCATGGCACTCTCTGCAGAAATGAGACTGGGCATGCCTGCCAGGAGCCTTGAGGAGGATACTCTCTCCCATTTACCAAGGCACTGCATCATCCAGGCTGACCCGAGCTGCTGCCAGTATTTACAAAGACACGGAGAAGCGTCAAAGCCCCCTGCCAGAGGCAGTGGAGCGCGCAGGCTGCCGCCGGCAGATGTAGCGTGTCCCCAGGAGCCGGGGACAGGCGGGCACACGGACACGGACACGGACACGGACACGGACACGGACACGCGCGGTGCGTGCGCGCAGCCCGCCGAGGTAAGTCCAGCCCCCAGCATCCAGCGGGGCCATCCTTCTGCTGCTGGATTTTTCCAGCCGGAGCATCCTGCCGGCTCTGCCGTGATTTATGGAAAGCGGTTTCTGACGCGGGGCTTTTTCTATTACGACACGGACCCACGGACTGGAGGAGGCAAAGCTGCAGTCAGGGCAGAAGTGAGGGAGGGGAAGAGGAGGGAGCAGAGGGACACGGAGGAGTGGAGAGGACAGAGGGAGAAACAGACACCGAGACACTTCAGAGATGGGTGAGTTATAACTAAGAGCAGGAGCAAAGGCACAGAAAGGAAGAGAAGGAGAGCCGTGAGGAAGGGAAAGGGAAAGGAGATCAGAGACTGAGTCAGCTTCCAGAGGGCAAACACCAGGAGACGAGTTCAGGGAACACCCCAGCACATCAAGAAGGACCTGTTCTGTCTGAATCTTCACCATGAGCACGAGGAAGAGCTGCCCCCTGCCACTGGGGCAAGGAGACCAGGAGGAGAAGCAGAGCGAGGGTACTCCCGACCTGGAGCGACAGGAGTGTGAGATGGAGCTGAGGAACAAAGCTATTCTGCAACAGAAGAGGCGCCTCAAACAGGCCACCCAGTTTGTGCACAAGGACTCTGCTGATCTGCTGCCCCTGGATGGCTTGACAAGGCTTGGCACCTCCAAGGATCTGGTGAGTCCAGTGGGATCCCGTTTGGGAGGGGGTTCCCCTAATAGCCTTCATTCCAGTTGGGAGCTGCTGGCAGGTTTTGTGAAAGCATCATAACTTCAGCAAAAATGAAACTTCCCTTCAGGATCATCTAGGAGTGTGTCAGAGAAAGGGGAAAGAATTAATCACTCATTTGCTTGCATCCATCTTCTTGTGCCTCCCCATAGGAACCAAACTCCTCAGGCAGGCATGGACAGGAAGGACTCTCCAGAATCCAAATTTCCATTCACCCAATACCTATGTATGTTCATGTGACATGTATATTTCCACGTGGGACGTCTCTGAAAGCCCCCATGTATTCCTGCATGATCCAGCTCAAAAGCAGAATGCTTCATGGACTCAGCAGGGAGGGAAATACAATTCATTAAATTGTGAGAGACTTGTGTTTGACCTTGTCACCTTTTTGCATTTTTCTCTCTTCCCCCACTCTCTGGATTTATGGAGGGGAAAGCAAGGGGCAGGACTGCAAACCAGGCAGGCAGGCAGATGCAGTACCTGGCACTCTGGATGACTCCTTTGGGGAGGAGGCACCGGAGCGAGGCCTGTGGGCATCTCCTTGTGGTGACGTGGATCAGGGAGCATCAGGGAGGGAGGTCTGTTCCAGCAGCCTTGGCAGCCTGTGGTCTGGAAGGGCTTCCCCGGGGCTGGAAGCAGATTCCCACAGGATCTAATACTGGCTCAACTGCACACATATTCTCCTTGCTCTGGCAGTTTTGCTGTCCCACTTCTCTCCACTGTAGAGTTAAACTGCTCAAGGATGTGGAGGTCTAAATCATTTTCCCAAAAGAAGGCTCACGTCTGGTTGTGATGGGGGCACAGTCACTTGTTCCATCTGTGGCAGTGGGTGTCATAAAAGATCTTGTCCCTCCCTGCAGTCTGTGCTTCCCTCTGTATCCTCAGACAATCACAGCAACACCACAGATGCTCTCATGCGTGTGCCTCCAGTCATTTCCCAGCTCCCGAGGCACACAGTGACACAAGGCCACACATGTGTGGGACCTGGCATAATGGGAGCTAATCCTCCTTGCTGAAACCTTGGCTGCAGCAGCTTGCAGACAAGGGGTCAGTGCAACGTTCCTGTGCTGGCACATCCTGCTGCTCCCCCAACCCTCCCCGCAGCTCCCTCAGCAGCTGCTGGGAGTCCCTGGCATGGCAGGTCAAGGGCGGCTCCTCCAAGGCCCCCCGAGCTGTCGCCTCACGGTCTGCAGCCACACTCACGGCTGTGAGCGGGGACCCGTGTGGACTGTCCCTCCTCACGGCTGTGAGCGGGGACCCGTGTGGACTGTCCCTCCTCACGGCTGTCAACAGGGACCCGTGTGGACTGTCCCTCCTCACGGCTGACAACAGGGACCCGTGTGGACTGTCCCTCCACCCCTGCGCGCAGTCGCGGCTGGAGGGTGAGAGCCGTGGCACATCAGTGCTGTCTTGGCGAGGAGCCGAGACTCTCCTCCCCGTGGGGAAGGAGCTCTGGCCATGCCGGAGCCCGGAGAGCCAGCGCGGGCCCTCGGGGCCTGCAGCGCCGCAGCTCCAACACCCCCCGGAGCACAGCCGGGCGTGGCGCTGGGCCCGTCCCTGGGCAGGGTATGGGGACGAGCCACTTCTGGGACTTCTGGTGTGTATTTGCTGACCCCAGCCACGAAGGCAGGCGGAAACACATCTGCCAGCTTTGCTTTGGGATTGACTGCTGTCACACCATGCCTCAAAGCGACAACTGGCACCCTGAAGCCCTAAGGGGTTCCTTGAGCAAGACAGTCCTTGTCTAAATCACTTGCCACAAGCAGCTCTCCTGCTGGAAATAACCATTCCAGGCAGGAGAACTCGGTGTATGCCAACAGCATTCGGTCACTGCAAGCTCATGTTTGGTCTATAAAGAATAGCTGAAACATTTTTACCATGGAGCTAGGGAGCAGTAAATAAAGCATGATGTGTTTTTCTCACATGGACATTTTGCTCTGGTGTTAGAGGGCACAAAATAAAGTGTGGCCACAGTGCCATACCTGGGGTTAATGTGATACCTGTGTTTCTGCTTTAACTTGGAGCAAAAGAAGAACCAGGTCTTAGATTTCCAAGCAGGATTTAGCAGTTCCTGCAACTCGGTGGGGCACTGTGATACTGCTGCAATGTTTTGGGCGCTGAAAATCAGAGTCCCAAATACATTTTGACTTATTTTTCTAGACATTTCTCCAGCACTATGAAAACCCCATCTCTTTCTCCTTAATTGTCTGGCTCCCTCCTGGAGGACAGGAATACAAAAAAGGAATGTACTGAAAATGAAGCAGCAGTAGGATGTGCTGGAGAGTTTGATTTGGAGAGAGAGAGTAAAACACCCCTGACTCCTATAGCATTTACACTGGGAGGAAAGTTTAATTAATTCCCCAAAACAGGTCTCCATTAACACTGCCAGAGACTCCAGCTGTAGCAGCTCCATGTCCTAAAACTAGAGCAAGGCCTCAACTAATTTAAAATAAAATACCTGCTTTCTTTTGCAGCCACAAGCTGTTACTTTTTGCCTCTCTTTTTCATGCATTCTGGGTGTGCACTCAGCTTATGCAGTTCATCCAGAAGTGCCTGCATTTTGATGGGCCCATCATATCTCAAATAATGAGTAATTATATAATTCCGTGGAGATCTCATGTTTCCACCTTTGCAACAAAAAGTGTGATCAGTTTTGGGTTTTTTTAAAATGGAAAAAAAAAAAGCAAAAAAGCTACATGAGCTAAAATATTCTGGAAGTACCAAGAAGGTCTGAAGATCTGGCTTCTCACCTCCCAAAAATCAAGATCCCCAGCTCATACAATGTCACTAATCATAGCAAGGCCTGGAGGTTTCACACTGGAGTACCTGAACCTTCTCTGTTGCACTGGGAATCTTCTTTGATCCCTCTAAGTGCCCTGAGAGGGCATGCTTTCCAGCTCCTGGCCACAACACTTGCAGCATCCTCCCTTACCATCCTCTAATTGTTTCTGACCAGTCCAAGAGCTACAATGCTCTCTCCACTTCTCCATCTCAGTGGTGAGAGAGAAGACAGGCAGGGCCCTGGGACTCTGCTCTTGAATCAGATGCCTCCAAAATCCCAAAGATCAGCTAATCCCCACCAGCACTTGGCCTCTTCCCTGCCTGAGTGACAAGAAGGGGACAGAGGTGGCAGCTGCAAAGAGCTTGCTCGTTCTGTGGGAAAGGTTGCAGGAAGGGGGAAAGGTCCTTTGCATGCCAGATTGTGAGAGGCAGGAGGGAGGATGGGAATTTGGAGACCTGCTGTTTGTTCCCTGCCCTTTTCCCATGGCCCAGATGTTAGCTGGCAGCCAAACTGGCACGGTGTTCAGAGTATTTAGGGAGCTAAGCACAAGGGCCAGCTGTGCTGTAGGCCGGCACAGCAGGCTGGGAAAAGACCAGGAACAGAGGGATATTTTTACCCCATTTTTTGAACTGCTGCAGTGTTTCTCATGCAGCATGTGAAGGATCTGACACTCACCCCTTGAGTGGCAGGGAAGCAGAGGCATGAGGGACTTGGCATCTTGCAAAGAGCAATGCTGAGTGTGGCCAAAGAGCCAGTGACAGCCATCCTGCACCGACCACTGGGCAAATCTGACAAATCAGGGTGCTTCAGATTGCAGCTGCACACTTCTCTGGCCTCAGGACTCTGAGGCTAATCTGAAACACAAGTAACCCTGTGGGGTTAATGCAGCCCCGCTCACTGGCAGGTCTGGTCTAGTTCAGGTGTTTGGCCTGCCCATTGACAAAATCGTGCATCAAACTGCTGCACCACCTGGGAGATGACTTAATTTTTTCTTTTTCTTTAGAAAGATAAAACAACATTTTAAACTGTAGCACAGTAACCCCTTTAGATTGTTTGCCTTTCTTCAAACAGGCTGTTGTTACTGGAAATGCCATGACCAGCCCAGAGCAGCTGCTGTCCTGCAGAAGGGCCATGGGGCTGAGTACGTGGAGAAAGGACAAAGCTACCTGCAACAGGCACCTGTTTCATTGGTGTTGCCCGTTGTTGATTCAGTAGCTGTGCAGGGACTGGATAGATCAATAGTGGGCAAAATCTAGAGCATCTGATGGTGAGGAGCAGAGACAGACTCCAAGGAATATTAGAAGCTGGTTTTAGTTTCCTCCTTGGGGAGCTTCCTGCTTCACTACAAATAATTTCTTGTACACCTAAAATATCTGCAGTCCTGCCTTCTTGCCCACATGTGCATGCTGTGTTCCTCATGCCCTCCCACATTGGAAGGTGTGAATGTGCCTGGTGGGATGTCAGCACACACTCAGCAGGCAGTGCACTGCATTATGCTGAACAGGAATGAGACTCTCCAGTGCACGTTTTGCTGAAGGAACAGATATGTGTGGGGAGAGCATGCATCAGGCATGTTCTTCTCCTCCAATAATTGCATCCCAGAGATCTGCCTGTCACAGACATCCCAACATTTTAACACCAAATTAGCAGCTACCAAAAAAAAATTATTGGGATTTAAAGAAAGTTTTTTTGATAAGCATGTCTTTCATCAGGACAATCAGTTGGGTCAAGCATTTCCAGCCTGCTTCCCAGAGCTATCAAATATCGTTGTTCTTAGCTCCATACTTAGCTGGGATTTCTCTTTCTTTGTGATGGAGACAGCAGCCTCATAGTGTGGTCCAGCGGCGCCTCTTGGAAGGCAACCTGAACAAGCTGCGGGGCGAGGCCAGGGGTCAGTCTGCACGGGTTCAATCTCCACTGGCAAAAGACCAGGATGAAAAGATGGAAAAGGGAGAGGACAGGAGAAAAGAGACTTCACCCCTGCTAATACAGTGCCAGGTAAGGCAACAACACAGTGCTGCTGATTTCACAGTGATGGCAAATGCTCAGAGTTCCAGATGCCCCCCTTCCAAGGGCCATGGTGAATTATAAATTGCAAAGCCAGCTGCAGACAAAAAGAAGAGATTTCATGCATGGCCTCTCCTAGAGTCTGGATGCAGTTTTTCCAAAAGCCAGAGGAAAGCCTTTCTGCTACATGCCTTCTTCTAGTTGCCCATATTTGAATATAAATTACCTTCATCACATCTCTTTCCTTTGAAGGCCAGCTTTCCCATGATATGAGGTATTTTATAACTGTATGTAGAAGGAATGTCTCCTTATCACTTGAAGACAGGTGCCTCTAGCTGATTTACATTTAACCAATTCCAGTCTAGTCTGATTCTCTCAGGTGTCAAAGGAGCTCCTCAGAAAGTGGCTAACTGTGCTCCAAATGAGCACAGCTGTATCTCTTGATGGAAGCAGTATTTTTAGCTTCCTTTTCTTCTTATATCTTCCTATATACAGCAGAGCACACTACTCCCTGGTCCCTGCAGTTAGAGAAAGCACATCCAAAAGCTGTGGCCCACAGACGAGAGCTGGATAGTTAGAGCTGCCCAGTAACATGCAGATATGAGACTCACCAAGACACAGACCTGTTGTACAAAACCCATTTTAAAGCTGGTTTTAGTTCAGTTACCCGTCCTAAAGAATGTCTCCCATATCCAAGTGTAAAGGCTACACTTCCAAGAAAAACATGTATGCCTTTGAAAATTCATTTAGCACAATAAATTATAATAGGAACACAGCCTGGTAGCAAGTTTCTGAAAGGCTTAGATCAGGTATCTCAGTACCAAGCAAAGCCACTTTTTGGTTTGTTTTGCAGCCTTTACTGCTGCAGTTAGGCATTGCTTACCTGCATTTTAGACTTTAATATGGCTGGGTTAACATAACCGCACCTGGGGACAGACTAGTAGGATGAATGGCTCTCAGGGTAATTTCTCTAATTACTTGGAGCTTGTTTTTGAGCAAGTAAAGGTGTTTATTTTTCTTTAATAACCACTCCTTATTGTTCTGCAGGAGGAAATTTAGTGATAAAGGGTGGGGTTTTGCCAGGCATGCACACTGAACAAGGACAGGCATGTACAGGTGTTGTATCCCAGGGGCAGTAGCTAAGTCAGCGTTACAGTCCACCAGGCATTCCCTTTTGTGTTTCTGATGCACTGAACCCCAGCTGTCACCCACGTTTTATTTTCCCTCACAGAGGAAGGTTAATGAGCATCACAAGCAAGGAAATAGACCTAACACTGCATGTAACTCTCCCTGAATTCTGCACAGGCGTTTCTCTCTTTTTCTGCCCTTCTTAGGAGCCAGTCACTGTTTGTCACACTTGATCTTACAATGAAGGAAGGGAAGCTCTCCTCCCCTTCTTTTTGTCTTGATGCTTTTGATGTTCACATTTAGGAACTTCAAAAAGCCTCTGCTGTCAGTAACAGAGCTGTGGCAGGAAATAGGATTCAGGCTGCCAGTTCATTTGAACCAGAGAGGTGAGCTGGTACCTTTGGAGATCTGCTTGATTATAGTGCAATTTTTTTAGAAATGGAGCACAGCCCCAGAGAAGTCTTTTTTTTTTTTTTCTCCTGACTCCTAAGAAAAGATAAATCTACCATTTACACACAGGCAAGTATGCTGAAAATCTCAAAGTGGTAACAAATGCATCACCTGACTTGTAACTGAATTTGACTAGGGAATAAACCCAAATATATGTAGACTTTGGTGGTACATGGAGATTCAGACAGTAAGTGGTTTCACTCTAACAGGTTTTAGTTGCCCTATGTCTAAGGCCTTTTAAGTCCCAGAGATCACAGACAGACCCAGTCTATAATAGTTGTACTGCAGTCACCCTCCTATTTGCTTAGGTGGGTTGCCCAGGTGGTACTTTAGCCGAATTGCCCCTTTTTATAAAAGTTTTTGAAGAGCACTTTAGAAAGCTAGTCATGACTGGCCCATATCTGCAACATAAAATCAAGCTGTTATTTCTTGTGGTGGGGCTTGTCGCTTGTTGACTTGGAAATCAATGCTGAAAAATTTCACTGCTGTAGATGGCCAGTTTTCCTCTATGCCAAAGCAACCTGGGATGGATGAGCCTTTTGTTTGCTAAAGCAGCTTGACTTTGGAACTGACATAATTTCAGAAAACATAGCTCTTTATAATGATTCTTAGTGATTCCCCTTCCCTTCTTTCTTGGAAATTCCTGTAACATTTAGATAAAAAATAAACATGACTGGTAGTAACAGACTTAAAATTCTGGAGTAGAGATGAGAGTGGGTAAAGTGATGAAAAGTCCTCCTAGTCCAAGAAGCCTTGCAGTGCTTATGAGCTGCCTACATGGTATTTTTGGTATGTTGGACCAAGGACTTTCCTCAGGCTCCTGGTGAGTTCTCTAGGGAGATGGTTAGTGGTGAAGAGCTGTTTAAACTCAGTGAGATTAAATGTTGTTTTCTACAGAATAATCACTGTCCTATTATATACTATCAAGCCTCTAACTTGCAGATTTCCCAGCCTGCTCTGAAACAAAATTCAGTAATCTGCCCAGTGATACAGCTTAGGCTTATTATAACAGCAGCAGCTCATGCATCTCAATCTGCTGCTCCCAAGTGATTCCTTAGCAATTGCTATCTATGCTCCAGGTCTTGTTTCTGAGTAGAGAGGATCTGGAGGCAATGTTTGGCATGCACCTTCACTCTGTGCTTTCTCTTGCCTCTCTGCTTAGACTGGCCACAGCCATTTCAGGCAGGGCTGATGTGTTGGGGAGGACAAGGAGCACAGACATTGCAGAGCTCTAAAATCAGAAGGGAGACATTTTGCCATAGAATGGTTTGGGCTGAAAGGGACCCTGTTAGTATTGTCTGTTTGCAGCATTCCAGTATTTCTCACAGGAGTTGTTTTCTTCTTTCTCTTTATAAATACTCACAGACAGCATATTTTTGAAAATGAAATCTTGGAAATAGTGGATGTAGCTCTCTGTGATGATTAGTAATCATACACAGGCTTAGATAAGAAATCAGGAAATTAAGACATTTTCCTTGACCCTGCTGGGTGCTGCACTGAGTCCCTCATGCTGGTCTGCTTAAGATGTTCAAGCATTTAAACTTGTCTGGACTGAGCATAAGAGTAGAGAAGAAGTGGCAGGTCTGTTGCTGCTTCTGAGTGGTTCATGTCACAGAGTGCCATAGTGGATGCTAGAGAAGGAATCACAGGAAAAACACAAATAATAGTAGGAATACAATAAGCCTTCCAAAAGGAAAATTTTGTGGGTGAGGTTTTTTGGGTGGGTTATTTTTTTGGGCAGTGGTGTAGGACAGAGCCTTGAAGAAGTAGGCCATCAAGAATAGGTATTATTTGGCACTATAGGTAAAGATGTATTTTGTAGATAACAGTTACTCCATCTTTTCCAGTTCCTTTACTAAGTCCTGTTCCTCCTTTTTTTTTTTTTTCTTCAACCTAATTCTTATTTATGTTCTTGATGACCCTATGTTTTGAGACCCCTAAAATAAATGTGACCTGCTGCTACTTCATCACCTCAGGCCTGCCATTAAGGATCTCTCTGCAGAAGGGACAGAAAACAGATGGCAACCTTATCTTCTTTTCCCTTTTATGTGCAAAGGGGTAAAGAAATGAAATTAGCAAAGCACTGGGAACTATTCCAGTAAAATAATGCACAGATTATATGGGTGCAGGACACAGTCTCCCCCTTTGCTAAATGACTCCAGCTGTGACTATTGTAATATCATGTCTTATATCCATAAAGAGCTATACAGGAATATGATGTAAGCCCTACACAAAATAGTCATCTCTTGATTAGGTTGTGTCTTGGATTCAGGAGTCACATGGATTTGCCATTTATCTTGAGAACTGCCTTAAATTCAAGCTCATTTCAGTTGTGTTTGTCCTGGGTGCTCCTGCTTCTCCTTCAGACTTCTCCCTCTGGCAGCTTTTCTACTGAGGTCTAACATTTAGTCCTGGGACATTGTTCCCTGCAATATCAGAAAAAAAGGAGAGATGAAACCCAGAAAAACTAGCACATGTTTGTATTCCTTCAGAAACTTTTGCATATTACTTACTGCTCTGCTAAAAAAGTCCATGTTGGTTTCATGAACAAATTCTCGAACTGTGCATCTCTTGACTGGAATACTGTTAAGTTAAAGTCACTAAGATAAGTGTCTGGGCAATCAAATACAAATGAAGGAAGACAAATTCAAAAATAAGTGTTTGAGAGTGATTTGCAGAGCACTGGGGAAACCACCATTGTCTTGGATGAAACTCTTGCCTTCTGACTACTGCCTAAAACACCACAACTTGGCTATATTGCTCAGAAAATCCAGATCATACTGTTGGAGGAGTGAATATGCCAATTTTGAGCCTACAGTAATTATCTGTTGTTGTTTTTTCTAGTGCCAAGGTCAGGTATTGAAAGCAACTGTTAACACTGGGTGTCTACCAAACCTCATCTCCAAGAGGTGTTTAAACCAGCTGGGGTAAGTCTTTGCACAGTATAAAAGGAGGGAAGGCTAAAGAAAAACCATGGCAAGAACCCAGGCACTCTGGAGTCCCAGCCCTAGGGATAATGGCTGGCAGTTCTGCATGTGCATATGGCTGTTGAGGAGAAGATGCAGAGGGTGGGCTACAGGGAAAACTATTAAGCACTGGCAAATGTGTGTGCAGACCCCAGACTCTGAGGCAGAGCTGTGCAATTCTGTCTGCATGTACTGCAAGGCAAAGCTGCCCAGCTGGTGGCTGGTGCTGAGGTTTTGCTTGTTGAATCTGCCTCCAGGCATATGGTATGAAAGAGATTCCCCCTCTTGTGGGCCTATTCACAGTGAGACCCAGAAGAACTGCCATCAATGAGAAGTCCTGGTTTTCCTCTTCTTCCTCCGTTTGAGGTAATAACACCTCTTGTGTCCCACAGGCTGGAAGAAGTGTCTGCCATGGACTGTGAAGACCTCTCTCTTCCCATCCCCAGCGTTGTTGGTCGAGTAGAACATTTGGAATTGCAATTTGGCCAGGAGACAGTGCTGTGTTCAGCACTGGTTGTAGGTGAGAGTGCCAGCCCCTCCTCTCCCTTATTTCTCCTGTGTCCTTCTTGCCATGCCAGGGGCATTTAAAGGACCTTTGGAAAAAGCATAATATGGTGGAAGGTTGGTGATGTGGCCACCTCCACTGCAGGCCAACATCACCATACACCATGAATACCCTCAATGTAACCAAAGGCAAAGGGCACAGGAAGAGTACAGAGAAGACAGAAGACATTGAAAGTGGGGAGAAATTAGGTGCTTTTTCAGTCATAACTAAGGATGTGAAAAATTCTCATTTTGATTCTAAAATGGACCTTTCATAAAATTCTGCAGATGGCTTGATTAATCCTCTGGTGCCTTATGTTCTGCTATGGAATGGGCACTTGTATCTCTGGCTGGTTGGAAGTCTGCTGAGAAAGTAATAGAGTTATTTCCTAGAGTGCTTCTCTGTGTGCTCCTCTGCCTCTGCTGCAGGGAGCACCCTGAAAGAACCTACAAGCCCCAGAGTGCTGAGTCTCCTTTGGTGTCCTGAAGCAGGACCTTGTGAAGGAAGGAGCCATAGGAGACAAGGTCAGGCCAGAGGGCACTGAGGCAGGCCCAGAAAACAGCAGAAAGGCTGCATGTTCTGCATTACATCAAGCTGTGCATATGCTTAAAACAACATGATTGTCTCTTTTCCCCACCCTGTTCTTTCTCCCTGTTAGTCTTCCAGCCCTACCTTCTTGCTTTAATCTGTTCCCCCATCTTCGATGAGTCCTGCTCATCTTCCAAGGCCTCCCTTGCTCCCTCTTTTCATGTATATTCTTTCCACATTCCTGAGTTCTCTAGAAAGAGCTTCCTCCTTTTACACACTCCAGCTTGCTCTTTTTTTCCTGGTTTCCACTCTGCTTGTTCTCGCCCTTCATGGGAAATCTGTATTAGTACCAGCACAGGTGAATTTACCCCATAGCTACTACTGACTACCTGTTTTGTTGGAACATGGAAATGGCTGCCTGGAAGGAGCAGAGTTGCTACACCTGTGTCTTACATCTTCCTATGCACGCAGTGCTCTCACTTATGTGGTTATAAATAAACTATAAATTACATCCACTGGTTACAGAGCAAGCAGGCCTCCAGGAGACATGTGAAGTGTTAATGAAATTACAAGTGGCTGCTGATTACTGCAGACTCCAGGACCTGGGATTTCCCCTTAGCTACCCCACTTTAACCCCTAGCATCTTCTGTTTGCTGACACTGAAGACTTGCAGCAGTTACGAGTAGGACAGACAAGTTACATGGGAAAAAACCCCCAAACCCTAATAAAATTATTTAATAAGATCAGTTAGATTTTTATTTAATAAGATCAGTTAGGTGCAGGCTTTGGTCAGAAAACTGAACCAATAGCCTGCTTGCATGTGACCCTTATCCCCTCTCCCCTCCATTTTCCCATGCTATTTCTCCCTGATTCACCTTGCTGATTGCCTTCTGCCTTTTGCCCTTCCCTCACACAGCCCATAGTAAGTTTCATGGGATCTCACAAGCCCCTTCTGATATCTCATTAAGTTTCAAACAATCACACAAACCCTCTCAAATTTATCTCACAGTAGTCATGATAATCATGGATTCCTTCTCTTATCAGCTGCAAAGTTCATTTTGACCATCTTCAGGACTGTGCCCAAACAGCTCCTTTAAAGGCTCATCAGTGGCAGAAGAGAGAGATTTATTATTGTCACTGCTACCATCTGCTTGTTAATGTTGGTGTGTTTAACTCATCCTTTTCCTTGCTATTTTTTATCTGCTTTATATTGATTCATAAAAATTTATGAATCAGATGTTCTTGTATTTCATATCCTTTTACAGGAGAGATACACTTTCTTTAATGAGGCAGTATTGCATAATCTAAAGCCTGATCAGTCTCTTCTCTCTTCTCAGATGATGAAATGCTGGAGTTTTGCATTGGCCTCCAGACACTGTTGTCTCTTAAGGTAAGGAACAATTCCTTGCTTATTGCAGGGCTCCTCTCAAGAAGCTTTCCCAGATCTGGTTGTTGTAAGCATCAGAATTACTTAATGTTCAGGCCTCTCAGGGCAATGCTTGTCACTCAGCTGCCTGACTGGGTGCAGTATGCTCTGAGTCACTGATTCCTTTCCAGTCCTTCTTAAAGGTTTTAAGAAAGAAAACACTCAGTAGGATACTATCACATCTCCCATTCTCTGTATTTCTCACCATACAACATGCAAGCAGCAAGAGGAAACTGAAGAGGAGACAAGAAAAGGCACGAGTTAGACCCGTGTTGCCCTTTGAAAGCAGATGAGAACAAGCTGTGCCCTTGCTTTAAGCCAAATACAGCTGTATGATACATTCAGTGTCCAACACTCGCTGGCCATGAGTGGAAAGAGTCCTTTTTTCAGCTTGGCTCAGGGTCAGTGCTCTGCTGTGCCTGGCTCCTGGGTGGCTCAGGATATGGCTGCAGCAAGCTGGCTCTGGCCTGTCACACATTTGTGGCCACATGCCAGGCTCATAAAACAGGAAAAACAATGGGTTGAATGGCTGAGTGATGTGAGCACATCAATTCAGAGAGGGTCATAAGAAGAAGGGAGAGAAATGGCTCTGTGAAGGGTTTGGAGATGAACCCCACTACAGGGAACTGGAGCAAGGAGGCAGCATGTGGGACAGGGAAGGAAAACTGTAAGGTCTCTGCAAACGCAGAGAGGCGTTACAGGTTCTCCCCAGTCATAGACATCATGAGATTTGCTGTCTGAAATGTCCAGTAAATAACTGTCTCTCTCCTTCTTTAGTGTTGCATCGACTTGGAGGAAGGAGTCCTGAGATTTAAAGCACTCAGTGAGGAGCTGCCTTTTCTACATGCCTCTGAAGAGCCTGGTCAGTGACTGGCTGCATTCCCCATGTCTGGAGACTTGCTGCCATGAGAGAGATGAGGGTGATGCTCCCATGCCCCTAACCTTGCTGAGTTCTAGGCTGAGGCATTCAATGGGGAGTGAGAAAAAGGCAAGTAGGTGCTGGAAGCTGTCACTGGGAGTGCCTCAACTTGAGATATCCTTCCTTTCAGTGGACCCTCTTGCTTGTCCTGATGTGCCAAGTGGGCATTTTGTTCTTGTTCTGCTATTTGGCCCTAGTCACTCCAATTTCTGGTTCTGTAATAAATTTATGCTACCCCTTTAATGACTTTACAACACACTGTTCACAAGAGAGTCTCTGTGAACAGTCTCCAGTTGTTCTATTGACAGGAGAACAGCCTTTTCTTCAAAGACCTCCAAAGATTACCACAAATATTTCCCTTCTTGTTGCCTCAATACCAGCGTACACCAGTCCTGTTTCTTTGTCAGAAGGGCTCTGTTCCCTTTGTCTGTACTCTGGGAAGCTGGATTTTGCTGCTTTTTGCTGGCTCAGAGCAGAACAGAAGTATTTTCTTGGGAAAACTGTGGCAAAAACAGTTTTAGAGTTCTCTGTTCTAAGAAACCTTTGCAGAAATGTTGAGTGCAGATGCCTAAAGCACTGACAGGGGCTTGGGCTTTGCCATTGCATCTCTGGGCACTAAGCTATATTATATGAATGGCAATGCTTACCATCTCTTGGTGTATACCCTGTAACCAGACTTGCACACACTGTTCTTCTGGCCAGGCCACTCCTCTCTGCACTCCAGCTGCTAGAGCTGCATCCCTGTTCCCTCTGCTGCCTCATCAGAGATCCTGCCACTCAGTTTAAATGCTGCGATGAATTACAGCACCGAGTCTTCTGCTCTGTCAGCTCCTTTCCTCCAACTTGAAATCCAGTGATTAAACACAGACACATCATCAGCCTTGAGTCCTGGCATCACACAGCCCATCAACTTGGCTTCTCTTGCACCAAATGAGAATTTGTAGTATCAGCTCAGGTTAGAAAGCTGTGAACTCATCTGGAATGTTAAAGGTGATTATTAAGTCACTTAACAATTGGGTTTATTTAATTTCCTTAATTTCTTTTTAATTTCCATACTAAAGCATAGGTATATTAAACATGCATAATCTATTCTTAACTAGCTCTATGAAAAATGCACTAGATCAGGGCTTGCTCCATCCCTCATGGCTACTGATTCACTATCCAAACTGCAAAATATACCTTTATCCACCTTTAAAAGGCTGTGACAACCTCATTTTGCCTATTTTCCTGGATTAAACACTGCTGACTCTCTTCCTTTTCTATCCAACTGGTCATTGTCTCTGTTGTGCTCCTCAAAAAACATGTGTATGCGTTTTTGTTTTGGTTTTTTTTGTTGTTAGTTCTTTTCTCTACAGCTGCATGCTGTAGTTTAACACATGCTAAGGACATCAGAGTAAAGCCTGGCTGATATGATCTGGGATTCACTTACCAGTGATAGTTGGCATTGCTGGCATGTGCTGCTCCCACAAGGAGCAGCAGACTTTTACTGTTACTCATCATATCTTGCAGCTTCTGATACATTCCTTGACTTCTCTGCCACTCTTCTACTTGTGCATCTATTTCTGGCTGCATGAACTGCTTTCCATGAATCTCTCGAGTGACACCAATGGTTCTCTCATTTAGTCAGGAAAACATGCTTGCTCCATGAGCCTGTCTTCCAAAGCAGCAGTAATTCCTCCTGGATTTGTATCACTTGCATGCCTGACTGGCTTCTCAGATCTGTATCAAAGGGTCTAGATAGTTCACATTTGTACTAAACCATCTTGTATTCTAGCTGCAGTCTACTAGGTGCCTGGGCCAATTCTGCTGACAAAATCTTGCTTGTGATAGACAAAACACCTGTTGCTATATGCATTGACTCACCCGGTTTCCAACTCCTACTGCCCTCTAAAAACAGCATGTAGAACAAGGGCAAATAATCTATACATACAGATACTGTGTCCATTACAAATCTTATTAGTTTCTATGATCCATTAAAAAAACCCCTCTAAATCACAACCCCAAAGCTGACTTTAGCCCTTACCCAAACAATAAACCCTAACAATGACCCGAAATCCTAATCCTAAATTTAACCCCTAAAACAAACTGTAACACTTAATGCTAATTTTAACACTTAAATAAAATCTCCACCTCCTAACTATAAAACATAACATCAAAAATAATGCCCCTAAATTTAACACTCTAATGCCAACATTTACCATGTGACTTTAAACCCAAGACAGAATCATAAAGACATTAACTATAAACACTGATCCCAAAACCTAACCATTATCCCCAACCCTAAACTCCAACCATGAAGATAACCGCAGCCCCTAAACCTAAACTCCAAGGCCTAAACCTAACCCCTAACTCTAAACCCCAAACCATATAACAAAACCTAACCCCAACTCCAAACACATCCCTAACCCTACACCTAACCACAACCACCTAACCCTATCTGATGGCTTTTGTCATTCCCACAAGGGGCTTGCTTCCCTCCAGAGCACCCTGGGGCTTTTACTGAGTTTTGCTTTGCCCTGCAAGGGGCTCTGTTCCCTTTCAGAGTGTCCCAGGGCTTTTGCCAGGCTTTTGCCAGGCCCATATAGGGCCCTGCTTCCTGTGGATCACCACAGGGCTTTTCTTGGGCTTTGCTGGTGCCCAGGCAGGTCTCTGCTGCCTTCCAGAGTGTCTGACAGCTTTTGCTGGGCTTTGCTGGTGCCCAGGCAGGTCTCTGCTGCCTTCCAGAGTGTCTGACAGCTTTTGCTGGGCTTTGCTGGTGCCCACAAGTGCACGGGAAGGGGAGAGTCACCAACAGCTCCAAGTCCTGGGCACTTCCTCATGAGAGCAGCACCCGGTGTCAGTTTTGCAGTTGGGCCCTGGCTAGGGCAAGGGTGCAGGAGCCTTCAGACCAAAGCCAACAGGAATCTTTCCAATGATTTAAAAGGAGTGTTGGATGGGATCCTACAGAAAACTGCCATGACTTTCAGTTGACAGTTCTGTCTTGACCACTGCCTGTCACTTGCAGCCCTGCAGATACTGCACACTAGCTGCTGCTGGAATTCACTAGGTGCTGTTCCTACATGTCGGTCTTGGAATAACTGCTTTTGGTCATATTCAGAACATCCTCCAGCCTTTCTGAAGCCTTTCTATTGATCACATGCTTCATATCCTGAACCACTAACAGTTCAGGCTCATCTGTGAATTAATGTGCTAGAGCAGGTGCAAATCTCCAGCCCTCTTGTCTCTGCTTAGTGACTCCTTCTTTGCACCCTCCTTACCTTCTGTTCACACTGGTAAATGACAAATGTCTTTCAAAAAGGAATTATTTCTATTTTGGAGAATCCTTTTAACACTTGCCTTGTACCCTGGCTACTAAAACACTCCCATATTGTGCCACAATCTTGTGAGCCTTTTGTCTTTGTTGTAAATGACTGCATGTGTCAATTCTCAGATACAGAGAAGATGTTTCCAAAAAAGCACTAAATTAGTGTGAGTTCTTTTCTCAGCTCTGAAATCAGCTCCAGGGCAGAAGACATGCTCTTCACCTTCCTCCTGTCCATGTCAGCTGAACATACAGACCCAATCAGTAAAAGTCTCTTTTGTCCAGACATTGAGGAATCTGTTGCCAACGGTTATCTTGGAACCTACCCATCAAGCTTTGCTGCAGGCAGAACTTCCAGAAAAAAAACCATTTATGTGACTAAATGAGAGCTGCAGGTCATGATGCCATGGCAGACACCTCACTTCAACCCGTTCACTAAATCACAGTTGAATCCTACAGGGCCAGTACCTGCCTTCCTCATCAACACAGCTCCCGGTGGGTTTTCAACTCCCCAAGTTACTTGGCATAAAATGACACACTGTTACTGCATTTCACATGTGCATTCTGAATTCTAGCCCACAAACATTTTTCTTTCTCCAAAGCATTTTTGTGTCGTTACATCTGAAGCATAACCTTCATTGTGAAAGAAGGAAGTCTTGGCTTTAAAATGTGATTGTAAAATAGGACTTACAACATCTCAAAGAAGCCAACTCAACTCCCATCTACAAACATGGTAATTTTTAAGTCTTCCAACACTGGGAAGCACAGTAAGTAATTTTTGAATGGGCTGGCAAGGCTGAAGACTGTCTTAATTGTAGTTTCTCTTGGAAAAACCTATTATACAGATATACTTCCCTACTCCCAATTCCAGTCTTCTCTATTGCTTTTGGGAGATCAAGGGAACAAAGGAATAATCTAAAGGTCTTTTTCACTGAAGATCAAAAAATGCTAACACTTTCATACAGAAAGCAGAAGTTCAGTACAAACTGCCAGCTCAGAGCAGGACACAGGCACATCCTGCATGTGTCCAGTACTGGCTTCCTTGTGATGAGGCCTGTCCCTTCAATATAAAAAATGGAATGTTATTATTTTAGGGATAATCTCTTTGAACCACCTTGGTGGTCAGTTCCTATCAGGGCTGCTTTCTAATAGAGGGCACAGCAGCTGTGGAAAAGCCTGCAGGGAAACACCTGCCATGGCAAATCTCTGGAACAGTGTGCAATACACCCAGGAGTGAGGAGAAGGACTTCTGTCCTTCCTGAGAACATGCACTCTGCCAAAGCCATAACCAGGACCACTTCCAGGAGCTTGGGGGTCATTTGGTTTTACACAGAACGGGAGCTGCAGCCATCCATATTCCCAAAGGCTTGCTCCTTCTTTTACTACCAGCAGGTGAGCAATGGCATTGAAGATCATTTAGCCACATACCTATGTTTGCATTCAATGCTCCTTTCAAGAGACTCCAGTGGCACATGCCAGGATACACCTAAAGTTATAGAAATAACTAAGTTATAGCAGAAAGATCATAAAAACAAGGGCAGGGATGGAGAGCAGGTTTATCATGTCTCAGGAAAATAAGGCAACCCCTTCCCTTTATTTTTTTGCTAGTAAATTGACATCAGAACCAAAGCCATGAATCATTTATCTGCAAATACCCCCAGTGCCTGAGAACACTGTCAGACTCCTCACTTGCTGTGTGCTGGCACTGGGACATACAAAGTGTCCTGCAAATGCTGCCCTGCTGAAAAGTTTCCCAGCACCAGCAGGTTATGCCAATCTGCTAGAGTAGGATACAGCAAACATTCATTTTCTGCTGTGGGGGAGGGAACCACTTCGAATTTCAACTCTGCGGCTTGTGTCGGCTGGCAAGGACAAACAGACAATTAGTTACAAAGAAAGTATAATGTAACTCCATCGCTCCAGAGACAGAGCCTTAAGTGGCTCCTTTCCTGAGAAGATGGACACTTCACAGAAAAACTGTTGCCAGTGAAAGTAGCCTGAATAACAGACTTCAGGAAGTATTTGGCACGTAGGAGTTCAAGGCAGGAAAAAACAAGGAAAGCCATCTTTTGGCCAAGAACGGTATAGATGTTCAGTTAATTCTTCTGTAGACACTTTTCATTTTCTCTTGTGCACAAGGGGCACAGGAGCAAAATGTATCTGCAAGTTATTATGTGCTGCACGCAATATAAAACTGTCAGGGGAAGCCCTCAAATGTTAGTATTTTTCCTCTCCAATGGCTTTTAAGAGCTGAAATGTTTTGGGGAACAGATGTTTTTGTAGTGTCTGTATTTTCTCACCTCTGCTTTTGATAGTGTGCATTGCCTGGGCTTGCACAGCAATTTTATCCTCAGGCCAGCAAGAGAGGGTTGGGGTGCACAATATTTGCAAGGCTTTTGCCCCATTTCCTTTTAAAGATGGTTCTTAGAAAAATGTCATCTCTTCCTCAGCAACTGTTTCCCATTCTTTCTCAATAATTAATAGTCCAACAGTGGATCAGTTTGACCTTCCTTTCTTGGAAATCATTCAACCTGTTTGTTTTGCATACAACAGTTCCAGCCATATGCACCCATTTGTACACCCCTTGCGCTTGTGTTGCTAATAAAGGTTTATATTTGGTGTTGCTAATAAAGGTTTATATTTGGCATGGACAGACAGCACTTAGTTGTTCTGTTATGAGTGTAGGCCATCCTGTTTCCCTGCCAGGCCCTATTTGCCAGAAGCAATGGTGATGATTCCTGTGGGGATGGGTGGCTGCACATCTCAGTATCACAAGAGCTGACAATTTGTTCAGGTTACAGTCTAGGTCTGACAAGCTTCAAGACAAACTCCTCGCTTCAGCCCATAAGTAGATGGTCCCTGTGGTATCAGCTCCCCACAGCTCACAGACTCCAGCCGTGGTGCTCTCAACACCACTGTTAATAAGCTTTATTATTACTCAAAAGGTCCTGCCTAAAGGGTCCAGTTTTACACAAGCACTTAGTAGGACAGGGGAACATTTAAAAATGCTTCTCAGCAAGGCCATTAAAATGGGGAGAAACTTCTATTGCAGTCAGAGAGTCAGAAGACACAGAGGCCTGAGAAGCAAGCTAGCAGGTACAGAGAAAGTCAGACCATTTCACTGCTCCATGCTCCAGCTTCCACTGCTACCAAATGCAGAGGATAGCACTGTCCTCTGAAATGCTTATATAAATCTACAGAGGGAAACTGCAAAGAACAGCTAAGGTTTATTACGTAAGATCCTGCCCTTCTGCCACACAGGGCTGCTTCAGCAATAGTCACTTTCACCCAAGGGCAAGACACTCCTTTTCTCTATACAAAGCATTTTCTCCCAGTTAGGGTTGCCCTTGGATATTTTGCAGAGTAAAGCACAGCAGGTTTTCAACTGCCAGCAGGATCTTTAAATGCTGCCACTTGCTCCAGATCACTGAATTGTATTTGCTGTGACTCAGGCTGCTGTAAGGGCGAAGGGACAGCTCCATCCATCACACATGTCCAATAAAACATCACACAAGTGAGAGGGGATAATCGATGCAAGCCAGCAGGTAGGCCTGCTGCCCCTTTCCTAACAAGCTGAGTTAGGCAAGAAACAAGCTAAGAGAGGGAAAAGCACAGTAACAACAGCATGTGGAAAGGTTCATGCCAGGGCTTTTGCAAATGAGCTCCCTTTTAGCAGACTCCTCGTGCCAGCCAGTGGGACATCTCTTCCAGCCCACCTCTTTCAGTTGTGCAGGACTCAAAGCATGACACTCTCCACAACAAGAGGCAAGAGTGGCATTTCCACTGCTTTTTGTGGGATGGCCAAGCTCTCATAGCATCACAGATCCACAGTTAAGTCAGACTGGTCTTACTGACTGCTTCACAGCTGCTTTAAGTCACAGCCTTCTCTGGAATCGCCCTGCCCAAGAAGATGGAGACAAGCAATGACTCTAGACTAGAGCTGGGTTTGCTGGAGCTGCTCTCTCTCCACATCTTAATAGAGCAAGTTGTGCATGTCTCCAGCTACTCAGAACTGCGAGAAACTGCTTGGCAGAAGAGCAGCAGCAAAGCAAATACAAACAATGCATGGCTCTACTTTAAATACACCTAAGTGGGAGAGAAGGCCCATGCCTGCACCCTAACTCAGTTCCTCCATCCCCACTTCCTGCACTGTGATCCTGCTAACAACTCATAGGTATTCACTGAAGTACTTCTAAGCATAGGTCAAAATGGAGACTTGGCTCAGCTGTTCTCTCCATCTGTGACCTCATTGCTCCTTCACAGTGGCCAGTGGAGCACTTTAGTTAGTGAGGAATATGGAAACTGGCAACAGAAGGCTTGTGTGCAGGATCCTTTCTGTTCTTGTAGCTGCCTCATCTAAAGGCAAATCAACCCACCACATACAAGCAAGCCTACAGTCAAGAACATCCCTTCACAACCTGTAGACTCTGTCCTGTTTGGAAGTTTTCACAAGCTAGGGAAAGAACAGTCATCTTCATCAGATGCCTAATTCCAGCTGCAAACGAGCTTGTGCTGGCATTAAAGATGTCAGCCTTCTTGTTATAAGGGATCCTGGATGCCACTGCAGTGGGCAGAAGAATCTGTTCCAGCAGGATCCTGCGAGGGGCTGCTGAGATGGTATTTCTCAGGAAAATACAGTGTTCTGTGAATCAGGTTTCTGACAGCATCAACATCGTTTTTGTCTAAGGAAAAGAGAGAAAACCAGTTGTTAGGCATTCTCACCAGGCAGTGTGAAAGGTTCTTCCTCAAGAAATACTCTGGTTTCCAGCATATCATCTGCCACCTCATCCTCTTGCTTTCTGTATGTCCTCCTTCTTTCTGCACTCACCTATATCCAGCTGCTGCAGGAGACTTTCAAACTCTGGGTCACCATCCAGGATTTTCAATAGGTTGGTGGACTCCATTCTCTCCAGCTGCACATCCCAGTAGATGTAGATCTTCTGGCTGAAGCTGACATAAACAAGGCAGGGACTGTTGCTCCCTTCTTTGCATGCATAGAGGCCTGCAGAAAGGAGAAGGGTTGAGATCTGACTACTTCCAAAAGGAAAGAGAAAGCAAATAATTGACATTTCATGATGAGGTACCAAAGCTGTTACCAGAAAACAGCAAACACCTGGGCGGAGATATGGGCCTGGGTATACAAAGTCCCTTTGAGACAATCCAAGAAGCTGTCTCTGAACCGCATGAAGCTTGGGGATTTGCAAGCAGCTTCTTGCAGGTCTGAGAGAAGGGACTGAGCAGGGCCAAAACAGGCTGCTTCCATGGGCTCTTTATCTCCACTGAAGAACAGCTAAGAAGTCTGCAAATTAAAAAAAGCAGTGTGGAGGACAGGAGACCACTATAGCACCTCCAAAAACAACAAGGAAAAAACCCCAAGGCACCATAGATAAGCCTCAGCATAATTTTCTCTCACCCTTACTTTTCCCAGATGCCACCAGAGAAAAGACTAGCTGGGCCTTCTGCAATATGCACACAAGGAAATTATCCCCACTGCAGCCAGACAAAGGATTCTGGGTCTCCTAGATGGGAGTAGTAGCTCTGAGGGGGAAATGCTGGGGTTGGCTTTGCAGTCAGGCTTCCCACCTGCACAGAAGGCACTGACATTCTCATCTGCTTGGAATCTGGCCACAGTCCGATTGTGGTCGATGATGTACGTCTGACCGTCCCACGCACAGGCAACCACCTCCTCGTGCCCATTGCCCTGCAGGAGCCAGAGGACTGCGTATTACACAGGTGTCACCCACTCCCAGGGACAGACAAGAATCTTTCTTGCCGGTTCAGAGACACACACTAATGTCTAGATGCCACTTTTGGACATCTCATCCAGGTATTTTGCACTTGGAGCTCATCTCTCTTCTATATGGCAATCCTTACGTACTGTAAGAGCTTTTAGACAATCAGGGTATTAGCAGCAAGCAAAACCATTCAGCTTTGCAGTAAGATCGAAGAACAGCTGGGGGACAAAAGTTTACAAATGGATAAATGGATGCTGGGTCTAACAGGCAGACACAGCTCAACCTCCTGCAGCTGGGCAGACTGACCTGAGTGCAGAACGTACTGCTACAGCCAGAACACTCTGTGTCATCCTGAGATAATCCCAGCCTTTTCCAACTGAGTCATACTCCTTCTGCCCTTCCTAAGTTCATTTACACAAAGCCACACTGAGTTTTTGTCTTCATCTCTCCCAGCCTTACTCAGATACTCACTGTAACGTCCAGCTTTTCCAGAGCAAAGAGCTGGTGATCAACCTGAACAGACCAGAGTAACTTGTCTGCTCCCTCCATCAGTTTCAGTGTTCCTGAAGAAAGAAAAAAACAACTGTTTTGAAAACAATAAAAGAGAGCAAGATGTTTGCTAATGCTAGGCCCTGCTCCTTCAACACTCAAG